TTCACGCCATTCTCCTGCCCCAGCCTCCTGAGTAGCTGGGACTACAGGCGCCCGCCACCTCGCCCGGCTCATTTTTTGTATTTTTAGTAGAGACAGGGTTCCACCGTGGTCTCGATTTCCTGACCTTATGATTCGCCTGCCTCGGCCTCCCAAAGTGCTGGGATTACAGGCGTGAGCCACCGCGCCCGGCCCCTTCTGCTTCTTCTTCCTCCTCTTCTGGCTCAGAGTTCTCCTCCTGAGAATTCTCTTCTTCAGACTCACCCTGCTGACTCATGTGCCTTTCAGATGCCAGCCAAGTCAGTTTCTCCATTGTTTCCTGTAAAACCCTCCAAAGAGTACTTATAATGGCTCCTAGTGGCTCATGAATTGCAGAACAGCACAAAGCTGTATCAGGGTAATCTGAAGTTAAACAATGGGGAGCCCACCACAGCTGTCAGAGGGGAATTCCCTGAGTTATGAAATCCCAGCAATGGGCCAGGTACAGTGGCTCACGCCTGTAATCCCGACACTTTGAGAGGCCAAGGTGGGAGGATCACTTGAGGCCAGGAGTTCAAGATCAGCCTCACCAACACAATGAAACTCTATCTCTACTAAAAATACAAAAATTAGTCAGGTACGGTGGCACATGCCTGTAATCCCAGCTACTTGGGAGGCTGAGGCACGAGAATTGCTTGAACCTGGGAGGCGGAGGTTGCAGTGAGCTGAAATTGTGCCACTGCACTCCAATCTGGGAGACAGGCCACTGCACTCCAATCTGGGAGACAGAGTGAGACTCCGTCTCAAAAAAAAAAAAAAGAAAAAAAGCACACAAAACAAGACAAAAAAAAGAAATCCCAGTGATAGCTGACATTCGGCCTGACAGTAGGAAACGGGAAGAAATTCCCTTTTACAAACTTCTGTAACCTGAAGATAGTTTTCAGGCTAGAGCGCAATGGTGTAATCTCGGCTCACCACAACCTCTGCCTCCCCGGTTCAAGCGATTCTCCTGCCTTGGCCTCCTGAGTAACTGGGATTACAGGCATGTGCCACCATGCCCAGCTAATTTTGTGAACCTGAGGTTCCTTCATCCGGGTGCTCTTGATGTCAGAGAACAGTGCTCAAGAGCAAGGGCCTTATCTTCAGGGGTAGATGTATTTTTAGTAGAGACAGGGTTTCTCCATGTTGGTCAGGCTGGTTTTGAACTCCCAACTTCAAATGATCCGCCTGCCTTGACCTCCCAAAGTGCTGGAATTTATAGGTGTGAGCCACCATGCCCGGCTATTTACTAGTTGTTTTCGTTTTTTTTTTTTGAGATAGAGCCTTGCTCTGTTGTCCAGGCTGGAGCACAATGACGTGATCTCGACTCACTGCAACTTCCGTCTCCTGGGCTCAAGCGATTCTCCTGCCTCTGCATCTGGAGCAGCAGGGATTACAGGCACCCGCCACCACGCCTGGCTAATTTTTGTATTTTTAGTATAGATGGGGTTTCACCACATTGGCCAGACCAGTCTGAAACTCCAGGCCTTGTGTTCTGCCCACCTTGGCCTCCCAAAGTGCTGGGAGTACAGGCGTGAGCCACCAAGCTCAGCCTATTACTATTTTTTAAGGCATTTAAAGTATGGTCAGGTGATTCAATTTAATGTATAAATCAGTTTAATATAATCAGTAAAATTTCATCCTTTCCATCTCATTTCACCTCAACCCCACAATCATGTTCCATAATGCATTACAAATAAATAAAAATGATTTTAGGACTATCCATAGTGTAGCAAGCAAGCAGGTGGCATATCAATAAATTAAACATATTACTGAGTCCACAAAATACTTGAGAATATTCTCCAGCTCTCACCTGGAGTTCTGGGACAGAAA